GGGGGGGGGGGGGGGGGGGGCAAGGTGAAACTTCCTCCCTCCCAGCACATTGGTTACCAATCGGCAAGCTCACTCAATCATTGGTACCTATAGTTTTTATTGGAGTTTTACTACATAAGAATGATCGATTGAATCACTGCCCATGTTATTGATCTCAGTCTCCAGCCTTTCTCTTCCCCATAGGTCAGACTGATATCACATGGCTCAAAGCCTCAACCCTCTAATCACATGGTTGGTCTTTCTGATGTGATATGAGTCATCTTGTTAGCATTAACTCAGGTGTGGTCTAAGGGGCCCACCATGAAAAACAAAGACACTCCAATTACTTGAGAAATTACAAGAATTTAGAGGTTACCTCCCAGGGACAAAGACCAGCCCAATTCTTTATAGTACAACAGCCCCCTATAAGCCTCTCCATGTAACTTAAGGGAGCCATGGTTTCTGTGTTTGTGTATTGAGGAGTCAGTTGTGTATCACGGAGCTTTTGCAGTGGGAGAGGACCAAAGAAGGGGTATACTGGCCCCCAGATGGAGGTTACTTTGGGAAATTCTTTTCTTTTTTTTAATTTAATTTTATTTTATCAATATACAATGTGGTTGATTATTGTGGCCCATTACCAAAAGTATCTTTTGTTCCTTTCTTTCTGATTTACTGTTTGTCTTCTGTATTTGTTGGTTTCTTGGGGTAGAAGATAAACTTTTTTTTCTCTTCATTGTTGCCATTTTTATTTTACTAGTGGGTTTTGTTTTTTCTTGAGTATTTATGGCAGTGGTGGTTGTTTTTCAGGTACCAAACCCAGTACTCCCTTGAGAATTTCTTATAAACCTGGCCATGTGGTAGTGAACTCCTGAAGTTTTTGTTTGTCTAAGAAATATACTATTTGTCCTTCATTTCAGAAGAATAGCCTTGCTGGGTAAAGTATTCTTGGCTGGCAATTTTTGTCCTTTAGTATTTTGAATATATCATCCCATTCCTTTCTGACTTTTAGGGTTTGTAATGAAAAATCTGATGTTAGTCAGATTGGGGGCTCCCTTATAGGTGGCTTGACGCTTCTCTCTTGCAGCTTTTAAGATTCTCTTTGTCTTTGAGTTTTGCCAATTTGACTATAATATGTCTTGGAGAAGACCTTTTTGGAGGAGTCAAAAGGTCTACTTTTTGGGTTGAATACATTTGGGGATTCCAATTGGTCTATAACATGTCTTGGAGAAGACCATTTTGTGTTGAATACATTTGGGGATCGTTGAGCTTCCTGAATCTGAAGATCTGTGTCTTTTCCTATACCTGGGAAGTTTTCTGCCACCATTTTCTTGACTATGTTTTCATTGCAATCTCCTTTTTCCTCCCCTTCTGGAATACCCATGACTCGGATATTTGAGTACTTAAGATTTTCTGATATCTCCCTTAGATTTTCTTCAGTGTTTTTAATTCTTTTTTCTTTTCTTTTTTTTTTTTTTTTTTTGTCTGCCTGTGTTATTTCAAACAGCCCATCTTCAAGGTTAGAAGTTCTCTCTTCTGCTTCTGCAAACCTGCTGGTTAAACTCTCTGTTGTGTTTTTTATTCAATTGAATGAATTCTTCAGCTCAGCAAGCTCTGCTACATTCTTTTTCAGGGCACTGATTTCCTTGTATGTTTCTTCTTTCAGGTCCTGTATACTTTTCCTCATTTCATGTTGTTGTCTAGCTGAGTTTTCTTGTATCTCATTTAGTTTCCTTAAAATTATCACTCAAAATTCCTTGTCAGACATTTCAAGGGCTTCCTGTTCTATAGGATCTAGAGCTTGAGAGTTATTACCCTTTTGTGGTGTACTTTCTCAACTTTTCATATTTCTGGTATCTTTCCTTTGGTGTTAAGTCATTGTGGTGAGGGATTTCATGGTCCACTGGTTCGACACGAAGTCTGGCGAAGATCCTGCCAGGACTGCTAGTTTGGCATAGCTGCCTCAATGCCTGTGGGTGGAAGGTTCGGGCCTCTCTGGTCAGCACCCACTCGCCTGGGCTGGGGATGGGGTCTGGCAGTGATGAGGCCTACCTGCTTGGTCACGCTGGCACCTCGGCGCTCATTCGCCCAGGCTGGGCAGGTAATTCTTATTAGTCTTATTTAATTCAAAATATCTGGGGTAAAGGGAGGCCTTGGGAGGCTGCATGAGATGACTATAAACTCTCATCTAGATGATTCTTGAATTACAAAATACTTCTAAATGGGAGCTTCATTCTTTGACTTGATATTTTTAAATTAAAAAAAACTTTCTTATTAGACTGAAGGATAGCTGTAACAATATCACAATTATTCAGTATAATGATGCCTACTAAATATTATATTATATTAATATAGTAATGTATTATAAAATATAATACTATATTATAATTTAGATAAATAACATATTTATAGTGGGTTTTGCTTATATGAATTGCTTTGAAAAATTATAGATTTCATAAAAAGAGACTCACTAAAATCATGCTGGAGAAGTTTCCATCTCACCACAGGTCTTGCTATTAGATAATCTCATATCAATTTCAATAATTATCTTATATTGATTTAAAAGGATGAGCATTTATATGGCTGATTTGTAGAGTTCTTGAGAATGATGCAGGCAGAGTTCAAATCACCAGCAGGTGTCACCTACACCCAGGAATATGTGGCTTCGAGAGAGTCACTTCCCCATGGATGCAGCAGAACAGAGATTTAAAATCAATGGGCACTGCACATCACAGGTTGTGCAAAAGGGGCTTAACTAGTCCATACTGAAATACGTGAATTCAGTTGGCATTTGTTAAGGGAAAATAGTATGTTTTGGAATAGCTTTCTTACTTTTGAGGGATATCAAATGATACCATCTAGTTGTATTCATTGAGATTAGGGTTAGGTGCAATAAAACAGAAAAGCAACAGTGGCTTAAATAAAATAGAAGTTTATTTCTATCATATGTAGAAGAAGTTTGGAGATGGGCAATTCTAGTACTGGTACGCTAGCTCTTCAAAACTTTCAGGAACTCAGGCCCCTTCCTCTTTACTTTTATGCCATTGCTATGATGCGGTTGTTATCTTTATAATCCAAGATGGCTCCCCGAGCTCCAGGCATCAATCCACATACAAGGTGTGCAATGGAGAAAGGACCAAAGTGGGCATGGCCCATCCCTTTAAGGAGATTTCCCACAAAGTTACATATGTCTGTCTACATTTTACTATGAAGAACTTAGTCTTTTACTATGAAGAACTTAGTCATAGAGCTGTATCTAGTTAAGAGGAAAGCTGAGAATGAAGTTTTTAAGCCTTGTGCATTATGTCTTACTAACAGTATGGATTCTGTTACTATGAAGGAAGGAGGTAATGGGAATTGGAAGGCAAGCTAGCAGCTCACCCACCCTCATTTTCCCTCTGTGCATTCCTAAGTGCCATTAACAGATGAAATGAATCATGATTTGATCCAGAATGGCAGTTCTTTCTGTTCTTTTGCATTTACCACAACACACAATACAGTAATAGTTCCAAGAAGAATGTATCCATCTCACAACAGAAGAGCACCAGGAAATTAAATACAATGTTGGCATTTAAACTTTTCTCTGTTTTGTAATAGTATTCTTCAGTTTGTCAAGACATTTTTTTTTTTTTCGTTAAATTTTTATTTTGTCAATATACAATGTATATGATTATT